GACGCGTTTATGAAAAGCTTACGTCCTTTCGCTGCAAAAATACAAACAAGTACAATAAGAGACATTGTGGTGTTTGGCAATATGCTTTAGAGAGAATAAACATTAATCAAATGTCGATTCTCGAGCTGCTTAACTCTAACTGTCGATCTCTAATTAACAAGGTGGACTATCTCCAATTTCTGCTAAGTCAAAACATGTATCGTAATTGTGGTGTCATCACAATTCAAGAATTTTGGTTGACTGATTTACAGGATGATTGCCTAGTATCATTACGTGATCTTAATATCTATCGTCAGGATCGATCAAACAATAAAAAGACCTGTGGTGGCGCAGTAGCTACTGTTTTTTTTGTTTTGTGTTTTTTTTGGTAAAAAAACTTGTTGAAATAACTCGTGCTGAGAATTCTATATTGTACCAGATTATAATATTGAATAAAGCCATTTATTATTATTATTATTATTATTATTATTATTTACAGGTACAATGTAATAATAGGAAATTATTATGTTTCAATCCAAATGCAGTAGAGCAACTTGTGAATAAAGGAAGTGAACATGAACCATGGTATCCAAACAATGATCTCTTAGGAAAACCAAGTAGATCAGTTTGACCTTCTCTGATGAAGTGTGAGGAAAGTCAATCACTGAGCTGATATGTAGAGGAGTGGAACGGGGGTGTAGAACACGTAGAAGAATTGTTGAATAGACCACTGTTGGTGAAAATGATAGACATCGAGGTAGTTCACATAGACGTTTCTGCAGATATCACCCTGCAAGCAACTGAAGAGGACAGAAAGACTAAAGGAGTAGTGAATATTGAGAAAACATTAGTAAGACCAGACAACCTACCAGCTGAAGAATTGAAGTCGGATTTAGAGGCATATGCAGGGATGCTTCACACCTTACTCAGAAAGATTTGGCGGCAATAACAAGTATCAATGGACTAGAAAGAAGGATACTTTTGGTGTAGTTTTGTTCTCTGAGCTGGATGATTTTGTTGTGGATCATTCTTTCAACTTCTGAACCCCACCTCACTTCTATCTGAAGTTTGTGCTGGTGATTTTTGGAAAGAAAGTGGAAGCTCCACTATCAAACCATTCAGTTAAGAGAACAAATTTCCACCTGAATTATTCATCTGAGCTACAAATCTTCCCCACTAGATGGATACTTTGTCAGGATATCGAAAGAGAATTTAGTAAGTGTGGGAAATATAGAGATATCACACTACTGTTTTCAACTGTGTTGTTGAATCGTGTGATAGATTCAGTAGACTCCTAATTCTAGAACAACAAGCTGGATTTATTAAGGATCGATCATGTTCTGAACAATTCACAACAATGCGAATCAGTGTTGAACAATCATCAATTGAAGGATGTTCATCACTATATGTCAACATCGTTGACTATGAGAAAGTGTTTGACAGGGTGGATGAAAAGGATTTGTTGATTGGTGTTTGACATGATGGAGTGTCTGAGAGGGACGTCACCATGATACGGAGTTCTCACAATAGATTACATTAAGAATTCATGCAGCTCACAGATCCATTCGAAGTGAAGATCAGTGTGAGACAAGGCTGTCTACTGCCAATTTTTCTCTTTGTTCTGATAGTCGAATGGATTATGAAGACCTCGACATCTGAGTAGAAGCACACAAAACATTGGACAGATTGGATGCAACTGGATGTTTGCCACTGCAAATGAATTGGCACTTACATCACACACACAGGAGCATATGTTTTTGAAGAGAGACAGTGTGGTGTATTCGATTCCATATGAGTATGTTTCAAAACTCATAAGAGAAGAGGTGAGATCCTAAATATACAACACGGTGAGTACGAAGCGAATTGTGTTTGATGGTCATGCTGTGGGAGAGACGTGAGCACTTTCATAAGTTATCAGTATGAATGATGAACAATGTGGATGTGATACAGTTGTGATGAGGTGAGTTGGTAATTGAAGTGCAGCATTGGTACAAGTGAGGAATATCTGTAACTATAAACAACTGTCACACAACACAAATGTCAGAATTTTCTGTATAAATGTTAAGAAAGTTCTGTTTTACTGAGCGGAAACTTGGAGAACTAATGCAACCATTATCAAAGCAGTACATGTATTTATAAATATTTGTCTACTCAAGATACTTCAGATCCATTTGGGAGACGATATCATGAATAATCGACTTTAAACTGTATGAATATTTTACAAATAGAAAATAAATAATTTAAAATATTTTTTAAAATATTTTTTTATTTATGACAAAGAAGCATAAACAAAGCGAAATCTTATTACATTTAGCATTTAGAATAAATCACTTATAAGTCTTTAAAAGGAGATTTTGACTCTAGTTTATATTCTTGAAATTACCGAACAAAGTCATTGAGTTCTTAGTTGGTAGGATGATTTAAAATCTACACTAGCTAGTGTGGTGTGTGTCGATAGATATAAACAGTATGTATCATTAATAAAAAGTGAAATACCTGATTGCAGAAGGTTAGAAAGATCGAAGAGAAGAGAACGAGAATAGAGAGTAATTGGTATGGGAATGAACAGTCAAATAGGATACAATTGATTGGCATTTTTTAAATCACGAATTTACTGTATGGTTCTCAGATTTTACTAAGAGATTCTGTCATTTTGTGTCGAAATACATTTGGTTGTCCCCACTAATGTTCTCCTCCATTACACTAGTATCTAATGTTTTGTAACTAACACAGTATCTGATGCTCAGAACTACTTGACAAATTAATCTTTGATAATGAATTAGACTATTGAAGGAAGTGATTTGATGAACATAAAATTTTATCTAAAATTAACATCAGAGTGATCAACTTGTGACGTCCAAAAAATGTAGGGGTACACAAGTTGTTTTAATGATTGAATCACAGCATAAAAACTAGTGCCAATTGAATTGCACGCAACCACAATGATACCTATTTCCTTTTCAAATGGATTTCAATTAAAACATAAAACAATTCATGTATTCAAACAAGGGAATATAAACTTTATTTTATATTCTCTAGATGACAAGTGACAGATATTTTTAGACCCCGAAAGTTTAAAACTATGTTAATTGTTTAAAATGTTTAATTTGTCATTATTCAAAATGCAGATAAAAAAAGGAATCATTGATTGACTAGACGGAATAACTTCCATTGAGTAATAATGCAGTTATGGTTCCAATTAAACACTCATATTTAAACTTCATTCATATTAACAGAATTAATTAATAATTTTAATGATAGACTGACAATAGGTCGAAAAATTAGGGATAAGGTTTGAGTAAGACATGCTTAAGTGAAAGTATAACAGGTAACAAGTATTTATTGACGTTTTCAATTGGAAGATCTAAACAGCATATTATGCTTTCAGATCAAATAACTATTATACAGAGTACAGGGATATCCTACAAGCATTTCAAATTCTATAAATCTTGTTAAAAAATGTAGCTTTGGGAAAACATTATAATTGTTAATCTATCTGATTCCTACAGAAAAGTAGAGATTTATTTAAATATCTATCTAAATGAAGAGGGTAAATATAGATCAATATTAGGTGTGACTACTATTTATTTAAACTATTGAATGCTCATGTATTCTTATTTCGTTGTTAACACATAATTATGATAACAGACATATTGTAATAACGCTGTATGAAATGATTTGATTCAGTTTTGTTTTTCTCTGAGATTAGATACTGATAAATAAATAACTGTTTGTGTAACATATTTCTACAACAAAGTTTAGGGATCAACGTCCAGACTGTGTTTCATTCCATAATCTACGTAGAAGTAAAGTCAGAAGCAACTAACTACTGGATGAAAAATGCACTTGATTTATTCTGTGCCTTAGTGAATAAGTATACCTATATACCAAAGTCAGAATCTGCGATGTGAACGTCAAGACAGTTCTATCGTACAGAGCTGAAACTTAGAGAACTACTACGACTATTGTCAAAACTCTAGTTATTTATAAACGGTTGCCTACGCAATATATCATCAGTGATGATCTACTTTGGGAGAGGACAAACAAGCTGCCAGTTAAAGAACTAGAGAAAAGGTACTACAAGTAAATTGGATGTATTTCACGGAAACCATTAAACTGAACCAAATCGCAACCCTGAATTTTTGATCTTCATGGTGAAAGGAAAAGGTGCAGACCAAGAAAGATATTATCTCAGGATTGAGAGAGGCATCAGTAGTATGAGTGGAACTTGGTAAGAATTGGAAAGAGGAGTATATGAGTCGGTTGAAGACTACTGATCGTCGGCCATGCCACGAGCGGGGTAGCAGGTCTAAATGAGTAAACAGTCAACAGAATGCTTACTGAAAGAAACAGAAATTTCTATAGAGATGAGCTTTTAGGAAGGAGAGTATCATTTCATTATCTATAGCAGTCTAGTCCAGTGCAGTGGAACAAATCCATCCGGGATAAACCTTGTGAAGAATTACATTCACTTCCGAAAAGTCGACAGCTGAGTACTTCATAAGTCGTTTAGGATTTTTAAGCTGAGAGAGTAGTCGTTCGTGCAACCAATGTAAACACGACCGCTAGTTATACATTAGGGATCACATCCTGTAGTATTGTACCATTTGCAGCCTATTTCTAGCAAGTACTAGTATTCAATGGTCATTATCGAGGTACCTTTTTTTATACACCTGGCTATGTATGGGCCTAGCTAGATAGCATTGGAGAGAGATACCGATGAAGTGGATGTATAGAAAAAGACCCACTAAATACATTTGACTATAATCTTAGTTTGGCATAAGTTTGACTTAGATTTTAAGAGTTAATTAGTCCGTCTTTCTTGATGTGTAAATGCAAGCACATCTGTTTTTAATGAAAATGTAACTGACTAAATATCCGATTCATTTCCTGTTCAACTATAAATACAACCAAGATATATAACTCACTGTAATGTTTGTCTACCAGGAGATTAGAATCAATATTGAAATGTTTGATTAGTGAATTGTTTCTGTCAGTTAACCTGTTATCAAAAAGCTTCATTTAATCAAGCATTTTATTGTCAAGATAAACTTTAACAAAGACATAGAAACCCTGTTTTATTTCAGTTAATTGTAACTTTAAAATCTTCACAGTAAAATAACGATGAACTTCTTGTACAAGACGTCAATTGGGTAGTACAGGTAAATATATGACTATAGGGTAACGTTTATTTATTCATTTATAAAATCATATTCTCTTTTATTCTTCATTGTTATTTCTAATGTTTCTTTATTTTCATTCCAAGTTGCTTTACTTGAATCTGGTTCAACAGGATTTGGCAAATATAATACAAGCTTACTAAAGAAAGATAAAATATTTTATTATCAAAAAAATATTTTAATATCTTGGATAGTCAGATAAGGAAAAATTAACTTTCAAAAGATCATAATTATTATATTACTTGATGAAGTTAAAATAAGATATGGCCTAAAATCTTGGTCAGTCAGTCAGCTACAATGTAGGACCAGGCATATATATGCATCGGTCCAAGTTGCCATAGCCTCATTAGCACAACAAGATGAACACCAAATATTCATAGTAGTTAATTTGATGGTGGTAACGTATAAAAGAAAGATTGTATATAAGGATATAGTACAGGAAGACAGATATGAAGCAATTTTAATCTCAAGGTTTAAGGGAAGACAGAGAGTGTATACACCTACTCCATTGTGACCGATTCTGACCACTGGTATTAACTGCTTGTTCTTGTGAATATAGTTAATATGAAGTTATTTTGTAAGTAATTTTTGTTATTATTCACATTTTATCATAGTTTCACATAATTTGCACTATTAAAATTATTGAATGTAAAGTGGTTGTTTAAAATTCGACCTTAATCTTCTGTTAACATTTTCTTCTCTGTTCGCATGACATACAGACTTTCGTTCATAAATACACTGCTGCACACACTTCTTGTTCTCACTTACCACCTGTTGTGATAACCAACCTCTAATATACTTTAGTATCTACGTTTACAAATCACACAGATATTTCCATTACATAATCATAACGGAAATATATTATCTTGGATTATATCTACCATATTTGGAATTATTAACTACTTCTTATAACTGTGGATTACGAGATTAAAACTCGAACACGCTTCCTACTGACAATTTAAGTAATGTCTCATACTTTTTCTTTGTGATTATTTATATTTGTCTTGATTATCTTTTCGATAACTCTATCATTATTTTGGTATTGATATATTTGATCCTCCAAGATTATCTGGTGAGTCCGACATGATAATATCAGCGGAATTATATTAATTTCTACTCCGGTGTCTACTAAAAATTCCGTACTAGAAGTATTATCTCTGACATGGAGGAGATGGATGGTCGGTTGGCCAGAAACAATCGCCGCTATTATAGTCTGTCTGGCACGTTTCCCTGGTTGTCATCGCTAAACGATGTTAATTGGCACGGTCTCGCTCATCTTCGTGCGTTGATGCGTACTTCTTGTGATACCAATGAACTCTTGGAATTGGCTTAGGTGACCTACAGTGCAGTCTGGGAAATGGCTTTTCCCTGGATAATCTAGCACGTCTCATATGAATAGTGGATACGGTTGTGTTTTATTGCCGCAAGTTTATTAGACAAGTAAAAGAAATGTTTTTGAAGTGTTGCCATTTCATTGGTTCTTGCTCCGTCAGTAGCTTGTAATGTCTTCACACTAAGGTAATCTGTGGCATTAATAGTGGTTACTGTGAGTTCAGGTATGTGAATTGAGTAGAAGGAAACTTTTGTAGAACTACACTCAATGTCCATATTATCAGTAGATGTATACATTATACAATCATTCCAGAAAATGTTTATACAGATAAATAATACATATATCTACGGGTGTCGTATCATAGTCCGTATAAAAAATAAAATCAGCATAATGGTTCATTAGATAATCTTAGAGGATCAAATATATCAATACCAAAATAATGATAAAGTTATCGAAAAGATAATCAAGACAAATATAAATAATCACAAAGAAAAAGTATGAGACATTACTTAAATTGTCAGTAGGAAGCGTGTTCGAGTTTTAATCTCGTAATCCACAGTTATAAGAAGTAGTTAATAATTCCAAATATGGTAGATATAATCCAAGATAATTTGTATTAGGAAACTAATAAATATGATCAAACTTAAGTGAAATATTTAAATATTTCAGTCGATTAAAATGCTATCAGTTACCCATTATTTGCTTTTATTTTAACTGATGTTACCCATTGAATTAAGTTTCATTTGATAGATATGATGCCATATATTGACTGCACAAACTTGTATGTACAAATTTATACAAGGGATTAAAAGGGCAAGAGCTCATACTATTATGGGTGCGAACTTAATACAACTATTAAGTATGAAAAGAAAATAACTGAACATCTTAACTGTAATCAGCAATATAAGATAAACTTCACTGTGTTGTAAAAAACAACCTGATGGACAATACCACTGACCAATTACTATTTACATAACATTAAAATAAAAAATCCCTATCTTGAATACGCACTGTTATGGAATTCCAACTAGAACAAAAATGCTATACAGTGCTTCCTAATTTTCAAAGGTTGTTTAACTTACGTTGGTTCGTGATTTCACTAACTAATGGTCGGATTGAATGTTACCAACTGGAAACAACAGCATATTAATGTTAAAATGGTTTGAAGGAACAGTTAGTCAATTAGCTAGTAAAACTAGTTACACAAGTATGAGAATGAGATATAAAAAATGTAGCCAAATTATACAGGAGGGGTGGGTTATTCGGTTTCACACTTTGCATATCCTAGAAGGCATAGGAAATCATATCAACAAACCTAACCAGTTTTCAAAGACCTTACTCTGGCTGTCGACTTAGTCAAATGGCATTTTTCGTAGATAAACTCTAATCTGCTTATTCTTATACTGATGGTGTTATTTTTACTGGCCTACAGAATAATTAATTATCCAATTCATCTTACTACAAACTCGTTATTTGAATAAATAACGGTAAATTTAGTATACTGAACAGCCGTCCAGTGCTTCCAGGTTTTCCGTGATGATCTAGCTTTAATCGACTCATGATTTCAACTACTAAATTACTACAATCTCCACAATCCCCCCATTCTGATATTAAACGTGTATTATTTCTGTTATCTAGTATCTAAGAGATAAAAAGCACGTCATTCAACTTGGCAAAAATAGAAAAAAGTAAATAATTATCAAAAAGAAAAGAACAATATTTTAATGTTGCGTTAGTTGATGTAGCATAGTATATGATAATATATGAACTTAAATTAAAGTACCAAATTCATATTTAACAAATTCTTTATTTATTTAGTAACTTATTGTAGCAAAATATTTTACTTAAGGACTTACTACTTAGGTGCTCTCAGATCAAGAAACGTTTCTTTGACGTCTAGAACAATATCAGATAGTCGTGTATCTGGAAGTATTACTTTGACCTATAGGATGAAAAAGAATCAAGATTCGAATGTAAATATATGGTACTGGGTTAGTTGAAAATAAGAAGGCATCTTAAATGATTCATAACCTATGATTATCAAGATCATAGTAACAAAAAAACATATAAGATTTAGATTCCTCTCCCACTTTATATGATGAAAATGGAGGAAAACGATGACAAAGAAACAGAATCTGAATGTCATCCACATAATGGAATGCAACAGATACAATAAACACGGAAGTGATCATTTGTTTCACCTCCGTCTGTGTAGAAATTGGTTAACCTTTAAGTATCACTACATATTTTAGCTTATAGAAATACGTACGACCAAATGTATACACTGATTTGTATTCGAAAATAGCAATATATTATAGGCAACACGAATAACGCAAAAGAGCTTTTATAACCCGAAAATTCAGGTCACTAAGAGATTAAGTCAGCCGACTTGTATGTGAACGTAGTGATAGCATAGTTTCTGGTAACAGTCATTCAGGTAAAAGATCAATAGAAAAAAGTTGATATCTCCGTGCGTGTGTAGCATTTTCCTCTTCGTGACCAGAGTAGAGAAACACCTCTGTCGAATCTATCCCTTTCTGTCCAGAGTGGATCCGATGGGTTTAATTTATTCCAAGCACCTCCAAGTTGTATTTCCTCATTTCTGCAGCTATTTGATTGGTCCTCCGGGTCTAATACATTGTTCGAACATTCCATGTACCTCAGTTCATTGTTGCTCTGGTTGTTAGAAGGGGCATCGGTCTGGTGACTTCCGAAGAATCTCGTCTTTCATCATGAGGTGTCATAACTCTTCCTTCAACTTCTAGAGCAGGGTTTAAATGGTTTGAATTATTTATTTATTCTGGTTAGCATTTTCTTAGCAAGGTTGTTTTCTATCGGATGGGGTTGCTGACCCCATGCCCAACCCTCCTTCTTTACCCAGTCTTGAAACCCGCAGTAACCCTAGGAGAGCTACAGGCGGAGATTTAGAGAATATAACATACTCAAAATCACTCAGTTAAGCTAAAAATACCAAAAGGTTTGCTATCAAAGTAAGTAAACAAATTTTGCGAGGAATATCACTAAATTGAAGTTAAAAAATGTGAAAACATTTATCAAAAGAATCTGGCCTTAGTGTATCCTAGAATATAACGTTGTTATTTTTCGGGATAGTAGTAATTCTACACTCTATCTTTTTCTTATTCTGACTTAATATCAATTATCAACTTTGACTACATTTGTTTTGTTACGGAAAATTCATGATGCATGCCGTGAGCGAAGAGTAATGGTAAATGATGAACTGTTTTACATCTTTTGATTTTTGCTAGCATTGGTACCAAAGAGAGACATCCGATCAAATTAATCTTGTCACATCCACTTCATATGTTTTTAGACAAACCGATCAGTTTTTATAACTGGTTTTATGGTCTATAATGACATGACAATAAATGATACCTGGCTAATAGATGTCTATGATAGTTATTCTTGGAGCTCTGAGTTAAATCAACTGTATTCTTTCCTTTATGAACACAGATCCATTCATTCTTTGTGTTGCTTTAACTCTTAAGCTTCGTTTTAGTATTCAGTACTTATCAGTATAAGATTTTAGTCATTCTTTCATTAAAATTTTCACTACTTTTGATATTGAAGTTCCTGAGAAGATCGTCAACATTATCCAGAACTCATACGACGAACTACAGTGCAAGGTCGTGCATGGAGGATATCTGACAGATGCATATCCAGTAAAGACCGGAGTCAGACAAGACTGTCTACTCCCCCCTTTCTCTTTCTTCTGATGATTGACTGGATTATGAAGACCTCGACATCTGAGAGGAAGCACGGAATACAATGGACACTTCAGAATCAATTAGAAGATTTGGACTTCGCAGATGACCTAGCCCATCTATCCCATACACACGAACAAATACAGGTGAAGACAAAAAATGTAGCAGCAGCCTCTGCATCATTAGACCTCAACGTACACAAAAGAAAAAGCAGGATCCTTAAATACAACACGGAGAACATCAACCCAATCACATTTGATAGAGAAACTCTCGAAGAGGTGGAAACATTCACGTACCTGGGAAGTATCATTGATGAACAAGGAGGATGTGATGCAGAAGTAAAGGCGAGGATTGGCAAAGAAAGGACAGCATCCCTACAATTGAAGAATATATGGAACTCAAAACAACTCTCAACTAATTTCAAAGTGAGAATCTTCAATACGAATGTCAAAACAGTCCTACTGTACGGAGCTGAAACTTGGAGAATTACTACAACCACCATCGTCAACAATGTAAAAGTGTTTATAAATAATTGTCTACACAAGATACTCAATATCTGTCGGTCGGATACTAACAGCGACGACGTTTTATGGGAGAGGAAAAATCAGCTTCCAGCTGAAGAGGAAATTAGGAAAATATGTTGGAAGTGTATTGGACAAACATTAAGGAAATTACCAAAATGCATCACGAGGCAAGCCATAACTTGGAATCCGGAAAGGAAGCGGAAAAGAGGAAGGCCAAAGAACACATTACGCCGGGAAATAGAAGCAGATATGATGAAAAAGTTGAATGTTAACTGGAAAAAACTGGAAAGGATTTCCCAAGACAAGGTTGGATAGAGAGCGGTGTTGCGCGACCTATACTCCTCGACGAGGGTTAACAGACGTAAGTAAGTAATTAAGTAACTTCTGATATTATTATTATTATTATTGTTTCTACCCCACTGAGTTTTATCTTGTTACTTTCTCTTCATTATGCTGTCGAGAAATGTAGTAATTCGAATGGAAACAATATTGATATGTAAAATTCTAAACGATTTCTATTTTCCCATTTGTTTCTTAATTTTAAAATCGGAACATTTTCTTTAAATATAAATGAATATAGTTTCTTTATAAAATATAAATTTACAATTTTACGTATAAATTATGAAAATTTTAATTTAACTAAAAAGTTTAATTTTGCTTACAATCATGTATTCACAACAAGCTGTTGTTGGATTTTTTCTACCAAGTTGTAAATAGACATCTTCAGCTGTTACTGCTTGCTGATATACTATTTCATATCTGTATATGAAATGAATAAACAAACAAACAGAAAAGTCAGAAGGGTTTTTGTGGAGATTTCAGTATTTTCGTAGTTGAAATCATGAATCAATTGAAATTAGACCACCATGGAAAACCTGGAAGAACTGGACGGCTGTTTCGTCCTATTGTGGGACTCCTCAACGGTGCACATCCACGATCCCGCCTCAAGAGATTCGAACCAAGGACCTACCAGCCTTTCACCAGAGCGCTTAACCACTAGACCACTGAGCCGGCATCTGATGGTGTTTTATATGAATATTAGTCAAAATTCAAACCAATAATTTAACAGAAATTAAGCACCGAGTATGTTGAGGGCAATATGCGTAAAAAAAGTGCATCTTCAGTAAATGAATGAAATTATCTTTAAAACATAGGCTTATTTTGTAATTAGTTTTTTCTTATTATTCTCATTTTCTATAGGGGAGGGGTGGCCTGTAGGTACTGATACTATGTTAAGCCCATATGATTTATTCTAGCTTCTGAAAAGACCAATTTATTCATTTTTTTCAGGTTACATTTTGAGTTTGTCATTCATTCGCTTATTAACCTGTTTTTTATATGATTGTATATGTGTTAATTGTCTGTCCTATTCATCATGCGTCTGTAATTTATTTTTGTTTGAATATAAATATTGAGTCACTCTTTATCAAATTGAGTTGGTTCACTCGCCTTCTCAATCGCACATCGCTGTGTTTTTGCTTCACTATCTCTACTCCACTTCCCTTGCTTCGTTTTCCTGATTGTCTGTTCAGATCAATGAGTGTAGGAAGCTTACCTATTCGAATTTCATCCTCGTATTTGACTTATTTTTATTCCGTTATTCTTTAACGCTAATTAAGTTGATAAAAATATACCAGGGTTGGCGGCATGTATGTTTCGATAACAAACATCATACTATCTAACTGGAGTCAGATACAGAGCCACTAAATATATCATTAAGATGATTAAGCACTGAATAATAATCAATTTTATATTCTGGTGTTTTTGATAATGTCTCAATATCAAGATTAAGTTTATAGGTTGAAGATGTTGCTGAAACAACTGTACTAATGTACTGAATGGTACGTTCAGGCAAAGATTCTATAGTTAGAATTCGTTTATTGGATATGCTATCAAATGCTCAGTGAACTTCTGAATTATAATAACCATTAGTAGTGATTCTTAACATAGTCGATATTTTCCATAAATTCGTAAATTGAAAAAAGAAGGCCGTAATCTAACATAAAATACATAGGATTTTTACCTACTTAGGTTGAGGACGCGGATCATATATATCTTCATGCTGTGTACCTTCTGGTATTTCATCAATATCCCATATATCATCAGGATTTTTTTGTCTCACATTAGGCTTTTCTTTCTTGACTAACAAATTAGATAAAGATATGATTAAAAAAGTGTGAATTAAGACAAACCTTCAGAATTACGTTTGGGACCAATATCACCTGGTTCCATTTTAGACATTGGAGTTATTACCTAGCAAGGAAAGAAAATGTGTGATATTTATTATCAATGTGTATATTTGTGGAGGGAGAGAGAAAAATTCGAGATAGTGATTGATACTCGTGGAACATAACGTTGTAGAGTTTCGTTAGTCAAGGCAATCGAGATATGTGTTACATTTTTCCAAACTATCATCTGGCCTGGTATACATTGCTGACTGGCAGAGGAGTAAGCTGAAAAAATGCCAGGATTAGGCCAAACCAAGATATGTTGTCGGTCTCCAAGTCCTATACTGTTGGTGTGAGCCATTAGGGAGGTGGGGAATCATTATTAAGAGCCTCAATTTATAATAGAGCACTTTGGGTGAAATGTGTGGGAGAAGTCGATCATAGAGGGGTAGGTGCATCTATTCTATAGCCCTTTTAAATCATGAGTCTTACCGACCACAAATCCTCATCTTTTATTCCTTTTTTCCTATATATCTGATGTTTAAATTTCCATCATGGTTGATAATATTTTCATTTCATTTACCACTCATCTAGTTAGGTCATTTTTTTCAATATGCTGATGTAAGGTGTCGAAACTTGCATCAATACAAAGTCACATTCGGTCAATTGATCAATGGTTCCAGTCTCTTGCTGAATGAAATTGATGTACAGACCATTTCACTGTTCAAATACTCAAAAGGGGGACAGGTATTTTTATTAAAGAGCTCATCAACAAGGAATTTGACCTAAATATCGAATCCATAATTCAGTGAGGCAGAGGCCCACACAGTGTCTGGAGAATATAGTTCATACACCATTTATTAGTTCAGGATTTTGTAGTTTTATATCAATTGCTGACAAAAACATGGGCTTTGAAAGATTCCCACCAAAATCCTCTATATAGACCAACCTATTCAATGCTTTCAAAGTTCATTTTGTCTCTTTTAATCTGTGGATATACCCACGCCACGTGAAAGCAATGAATGTTATTTTGATGGAGTTTTGTTCTCTGAGCTGGATGGTTTGGTCATGGAGCTTTCATCGTTCTACTGGACGACATCATCAGCACAAACTTCGGGTAGAAGTGAGTGTTCGAATTTCTCCACATGAGGTACACAGCTTGTCCTGTACACCACGATGCTGAATGGTTCGTGTTGACCTAAAATTTATCATTGTTTACTTCTTTGTTTTGGTTGTATCTCCCATCGACACATTATTAGTAAGTCGAGTGAAAAAATAAGTCAATCATTGGTTTTTATCGATTCAACTAAATACGTGGTTACTTTTTCGGTAACTTATTCAGATTACCATGAATAAAAGGACACATGAATAGGATAGTTTTAGAATAATAGTCCCATTAATTCAATACATTAAAACGGAAAATTTTTTAACTCACGTCATCCTGATCACTATTATATTCCAACTCAGGATCCCTAAGTAAATTTTGCAATGAGCGTATATTTTCTCGTGTCCATACAGCTTCCATTTTGTCTCCTTCATCAACAACAAATATACAAGTGAGCTTATTATTAGTGGAAAATAATCAGTATAGTTATACAACACAATAAATAAGGAAATTATTAGTTGTGCCACTTATACAGGTGAATGACTTGTGCTCTTTTGATGTAAGATATAAACAACGAGAGCGAAAGAAGGCTTATATCAAAAGATCAAACGGGCTAGATTACTATGATATAATTCAATGAAGTAATTATAGTTTCCAGTTGAGTTGAATCACGGTTTTGCCCCAGAGAATGATTTTGATACTTACTTACTTGTGGCTAAGATGAAACTGAAGCTAAAAAACACTGGACAGCTGGCAAAACAGCAATCTAAAGGTTCAATGCAACCTTCCTACGAGGTAGTAACAAACTCAACGAATTGAAGATAAATCCCAGCAACAGGTTCCAAGCCTTTCAAGACCTCCTCGACGAAAGCTATTATGGAGAACAACTGGAAAGGGATAAAAGAAGCACTAACTTCGACGTATCAGGAGGTGCTGAGCTTCAAGAAGCATCATCATAAGGAATGGATCTCCATGAGAACCCTGTATAAGACTCAAGAGAGGAAAAAAATAAGATAACAATTAACAACAGCTAAATATGAGCAGAGAAATTCATGGGATACGCCGAATACATAGAAGCAAACAAGCAAGCGAATAAAAGCATTAGAGCTGATAAGCAGAAATACATGGAAGACATAGCTACGACGGCGGAAAAAGCTGCAAGAGAAGGGAATAAGAAACAACTATATGATACAACGAAGAAACTAGCAGAGAGATATGGTAAACCAGAGAGGCTCATCAAGGACAAAGAATGAAAGACAATCATGGAGGTTCAAGAACAGAGGATGAGTTGGGTAGAATACTTCGAGGAACTGTTGAATAGACCAGCTCCATTTAATCTACCGGAAATCAAAGCAACACACACAAACCCACCTATAAATGTCACTCCATCAACGATGGATGAAATCAAGATGGCCTGTCATCGGACAAATCGAAAATGGGAAACCAGCAGGACCTGAAAATATATCACCTGAAGCATTGAAGTCAGACACTGAGGTAACCGCAAACATGTTACACGTTCTACTCAAGAAGATTTGGTAGAAGGAAAAAGTGCCGAAGAACTGGTAATAAAGACACATCATCAAGATGCCAAAGAAAGGAGATCTTAGGAAATGTGAGAACTACAGAGGCATCGTACTACCGTCAGTACCAGGAAAAGTTTACAGCAGAGTGTTGATGAACCGGCGAGGATTGGCAAAGAAAGGACAGCATCCCTACAATTGAAGAATATATGGAACTCAAAACAACTACCTTTCAACTAACATCAAAGACACAATGTTCAATACGAACGTCAAGACAGTTCTACTGTACGGAGCTGAAACTTGGAGAATTACTACAACCACCATCGTCAACAATGTAAAAGTGTTTATAAATAGTTGTCTACACAAGATACTCAATATCTGTCGGTCGGATACTAACAGCGACGACGTTTTATGGGAGAGGAAAAATCAGCTTCCAGCTGAAGAGGAAATTAGGAAAATATGTTGGAAGTGTATTGGACAAACATTAAGGAAATTACCAAAATGCATCACGAGGCAAGCCACAACTTGGAATCCTCAATTGGAGAGGAAAAGTGGAAGGTCGATGAATATATTACGTTGAGAGTTTGAAGCAGACACGAAAAGAATGAATAGCAACTCAAAAGAACTGTAAAGGATTGCTCAGAACAGACTTTGTTGGCGAATCCTGATTAGCGGCCCATTATCCATGAAGCGTAACGGGAGTAAGTACTTACTTACTTACGTCTGTTAACCCTCGTCGAGGAGTATAGGTCGAGCAACACCACTCTCCATCCAACCTTGTCTTGGGAAATCCTTTCCAGTTTTTTCCAGTTAATATTCAACTTTTTCATCATATCTGCTTCTATTTCCCGGCGTAATGTGTTCTTTGGCCTTCCTTTTTTCCGCTTCCATTCCGGATTCCATCGTGATGCAGTTTAGTGATTTCCGTAATGCATGTCCTATGCACCTACAATGTCTTTTCCTAATTTCCTCTTCAGCTGGAAGCTGATTTGTCCTCTCCCATAGTAGGTTGTCGCTGATGGTTTAAGGCCAACGGAGACTAAGTATCTTGCGTAAGCAAGTATATATATATATAAGAACTGCCTTGAAGTTCGTATTGAAGATTCTCACTTTGAAATTAGTTGACAGTATTTTTGAGTTCCATATGTTCTCCAATCATAGGAATACAGCCCTTGCTTTGTCAATTCTTGCTTTTCATTCGCATCAGGTCTTTCTTGTTTATCAGTGTTGCATTTTGATGAGTTCGATACCTGAGAACTTAATTATTGCTCAAGTGTTCATTTGATTTTGAAGTGCTTCGAATTTCTAAGGCATACTAAGAGTAATATAAGAGATCATTAACTAAGTAAAGACTACTACACAGAGTTCGTATACTGGAACACATTTCATTTATTATCTCAGATGCTGAAAAACTAAACACTACTTTTCAATACAGATACTAATCTTCCTTAGTAAGATAGTAATCAGTTCATAAAGATGTGAATCATACAGTTCCTTACATATTAGTCAACCTTTTATGCGATATTCATAATATAACCATCCAACTTATTCATATTACTTTTAAAACAAATACTCAAACTCTTTAATAGAATAGTTGGCCAATTCCTCTCTATACAAACAAAATTTAAACGAAATAATGTGTTAACAAAAATAGAACAATGGATTCTGATATAAGATTACTGTATTCAAAATAAAACTAAATGTAACATCAAAGTATTTTGTGCTTTCTTTCTTTATAAAAGTTGTGGCAAATATCCAATATTCAACCCAGTTCTTATAGTTTCAGCAATTCATTAAAAAAGTTGATTTAAGATACCATTTTACGTTACTGATTCGTTTTGACTCCATAAGTTTAACCGTTGATCTAACAAAGCATTATTTACATCAAACTGTGATTGATTTTTCGTCAATTCTTGTGGAATTAGTTCCATACGAAGCGTTGTACGATCTACTATGCCAGATGCAGCCAATGTTGCAGAATGATCAACTAACATTTGGTGATTGCATAACTCATTGGGATTTTCAATGGTGTTAAATAAACCCATAGCTACAAGGCAATAATTTCTATTAGGTTTTGGTAGTGTTGTCGATCTAGCACGATCTAACATTGCATATAAATCTCCTACTGTATCTTTTGGATGCATTTCAACATTGTAAATTTGCAAACCACTTTCCGAATAAATCCTTAATGTTATAAGTTCTGATTCTAATCGATTCTTGTCTGTTGTGTTATTTTTAAATATGCAATCTTTTTTAATTATTCTGGTTGACGGAATACTAATTTTTTCACCGAATTCACTTTTTATGTCGTTTCTAATATTTAACAGTTGACCAGATTTTGTTAATTTATATTCCGGTAAACGTTTTAGCAATTCATCAAAAGTTAAAGATTTAGTTCGCCCATCAGTGCTTAGTGTGTTTGAAGTTAGTTTATTGAACATTTTACATTCTACTTTCGTTTGATTTTCAACTCTAAAATGGAGCGTAAAAATTATATAGAAAATAGGTTACAAAGCAGTTTAATTTGTAGATATACATATGGTCCTGGGATTTCGAAACACATAAGGAATGATTATATTTGGATCATTACGACTGGTTATAACCCATTTAACTTAAGATGTCAAACAGTATTACGATTAACTTCATTCAGTATTGTTTGTTCGAATCTTCCCATTGATGTTTAGGACTGCAATTGATCAGTCTCTTATTAGCATATGTGCATCCTGTGTGGATCACCTGATATTGCCTTAATTCACAAGCATTATAAACAAAGATGGTTGGTAGCTAGCAGTGAAATCCAGGACGCGCGTGAACATCAACTCTGGGATTCAGGTACATCTAGCTGACGAGCCCCAAACAGGACGAAACACACATCCTGGATTTCATTGCTAGCCACCAATCATCTTTGCTTATAGTATTATTGTGGTTTCAGAAACACAACCAGGAAGTTTACATTTTTTACATGACTCAGTTCAGTATTTAAAGGTTATTGCAATGTTTTGATCTGTTAGCCTATGGTCTGTCTGCCCCTTCATTAACCAGTAACAGTTTTCAAAGAACGTACTGTCTGGGAATGAGTAAAAAATATATTGTCCATTTCACTAGACAAAATTTTATGACATCAACAACCGAGTTGTTTATTCAAAAAGTTTCCGTTCATACAGCAGTATGTCTTGTACACCATAGATTATTTGTGACTGTTGTTAATTGTGAATAAATCATGTACTAAGATCTCGATATTTTGGTTTACAAAAGAGACTATGAATAAATTAGATTGCTGGGTTACTTTTAGTAGCACCTCTATCGTCTTGAAACGAAAATGTTCTGAACACTTTGATGCACATTGTTTTCTGTTTAAATGGAGATGTACCCAGCAATTAAAAAAATGATGTACATCAGCTAGTTCGGCTGTCAGTTCAACTCACTTTGATTAAATGAACAGTATTCCCGTTTGTCACACAATAAATATCGCTTTAAGCCTAGCAAACGAACTTATTTTTGACTGCCAAACTGTTTTTTACTAAGCTTCAAATGATGTTACGTTCGAAATTGGGAGAAAATGGTAATTGGAATTTTGGCCTTACTATAGCGATAAGTTCGTGATAACAGTTTCCTGATAATACTTTTGAAGTTAAAATATTTGGCTAAGTGCATGTCGGAATGTACTCTCTTTGTAGCTTTTAGTTTGCAGTAATGCATCAGTTTACTAGAAATTATCAAGAGTAATCAGGTCATTCAGACAAAATAATTACAACACCAAGAAATACCAAGCCATTTTTAGTTATTCCTTACTGTTTAATACCGAATCCTTCGTTTTTATCAATGTTTGATAGATGTTCCTCATCAGTGAAGAAAACTTCTTGATCAGCATCTTGTTCACTTGTTAGAGAACTTCCAAGTTTATAACCAAAAGATGAAAATGGTGTTGGTTCTTTTAATAACATAAAATGAGTTGTGTGTTTGTCGATTAGTCTGAATTGAACCCCATTCGGATAAGAAGATTGTAATTCTGATGGAAAGTAACCGTCTAATATATCCTAAAAGTTTGGAGAAACATGACATATTTAGATTAAAAATGAAAAACAAAGTAATTTGAAGGAATTTCTCGTCATGAATTGATATTTCAGCTGGAGAGCCGTTGAAGACATAAGAGAATTGGACAGTTGTTTCTCCGTCACCAAAGACTCCTCAGTACTTCCAATCCATGTCAAAGCCAAATGATCAAACTTATCACTCGATTTTTAAATTATGACTTAATGCTGTAAAGTTATCGTACACAAAGACAGTGGGATCAAATTTGCGAAAAGATATAGAATGATGCCGTTGAGGGTTAAAAAACGAGAATAAAACAGAAGCCTGGTACTATACAGCATTTATTATTCATCTATATAATAACATGTCTACAGATGAGAACCATTTTTATTTTAATCAATAATACAACAGATGCTTTGAAGCGTAATGGAAAACAAGTGCCCAGTTGCGGTTGTACCAATGTTAATCAAAAAAGCTTGAATAACATGTCGTCATACTATTCTATTCAAATTTCTCCTGTCAAAATAACATTTTTTATTTGATGTCTGCTTTCACAATCCTTCCTATGAATCAGTTTTATTTCTTTAAACATTTATTAATAAATCGTACAGAATAAGGCGGTTAAACACCATAGCTCCAAGAGATTCAAACTAAATTTTTATATTCAGTAGTAATAATAAAATTATTTAGTGAAACTTAATGGTGTTTTAACTGCTATGTGTATCTCATAATTAAGATTAACCATTCATTAAAAAGAGTATAAATGATGAAATAAATTTATAGAGCATAAAAACAAGTCAACAGTTTAACAACCAACTTGATTGATTTCTTGTTGAATTTTATAGGGTTATAACGTTTCAGGTGTAAATTAATCAGAAATTTGTTTCAAAATGTTTTTATGGAAGCAAAGTTATTTTGCTAAGAATTTTTCATTGTTATGGATCCCAGTTGTTTGGGAGCGTATGGCAACATAATAAGGTAAGTCAGATAGTCAATGAAAACCGAAAACGTGAAATACTGTTTATTTTAAATTTGTCACATTTTGACGTTCTGAATCCCTAATTCTCCTCGTCTTCCATAAACGATTTGTTTTTACTCAAATACAGTGATATCTGGAGTAAACCAAGTCGGAAGCAAACAAAAACAATAGCCTATGATGTGGAAAAACAGTTAGTCCGTATCATTTATGAAATTCATAGAACTGTAATCACTCTATTCCATTTGAACAGCTTAATCTTATTGCTTTCTAAGGAGCAAAGTAATGTGTAATTTTATAGTATAAAAAGAATCAAAAATATTTACTGTAAAAAGTTTTAAACTAGTAAAAGCCATCTATCCTGATTGATATGATGGGATAAAAAGGCAAAATTACATTTTCTTTTAACTCGTTGTAATTCTTGCTGAACATTGCTTTTACTTTTAGTTCAGTATAACATTGTTTTTTCTGTTTTAGCGTGCTGTTTTATTCAGCATAACGTTGATTTACTTCAGTGTGATGTTTATTCAAAACGCAATATTATTGCATTAAATTAACGTAAACTGTATTCAGCATGGTATGCAATGTGCAATCTCGCTATAATTTTGCATATAAGACGCTTTACTAATTAATGATCAAATGTGTTTACAAATCATTGTATGAATGAGTGCATTCTCAACCCAAGTCGTTCTCATGTTCTTGGGGTTTATAAATCTTCACTTGTACCAGTCTTACTTTGGGTTGTGGGAATCGCAGTGGTTCCTTGCTCCAACCACGTTTGATAAACAACTTGGATATAACCCTGAAACGAGCCTTAGTATTCTACTCTTTATAATTTCTTGGTGAAACTTGGTCTGTTCCTAATAATTACGTCTGAATATGTTATCAGATGAAATAATTTGAGGGTCTCAAGTGTAGCTTCATGGGCTGCTTTGTAATGCTCAGTTTGACTTTGATTATTTACCATTTATTTGACGAGTAACGTACCGTCATACTATTTCGAGCAAATAATTTGTGTATATATAACAGCTTAAACTCTCTGATAAAAATATATTTTGTTAGTATGCTTACTAGTGGTTCTATCTCTTGAGATCTGGCCGGTTGTAATTACCAAGTCATCAGTTTGGCTATCTCATTCCGTTTATCATTTTACCAGTCAGTTATGTCATTATCAAGTACATGAAACAACATTTATCATGAAATAACTTTACTCAAAAATGACAGAGTGGAATTACTTGGACAAACTGTAGCGTATCATGATTTTTATAAGGGCGAAATGGTCCTGAGTTAAAACATAATCCATCTGCATATAGAGTTAGTGGAATCGGTGGTTGATTTTGTAAGCAAACTATATTAGATGAATTTGATTGTGAAATAAATTTTTTCTCATTGTGCGCGTCGTTGTTCCAATTACTCAATAAATGAATTTGTTGAATTAGGCGACCGAAGGTTGTTTCATTGAGTTCTTATTAATAATAAACAAATAGCAATATTATTGTCATTAGATCTATAAGCAAAGCCAAGGCCTACTTAGACCAGTTTCATTTCTTGGACTGGTTACATGATCAGTTGATTGTCTCCCTATCCACATGAGACCATGGTCTTGAAAAAATTCCTTCATTTCAAAAATCTATGGATTGAAATAATATATGTAATTATTCATTTCATTGCTTGCTTGTTCTTGTAACTCTTCGCAACGTTTCTGCAGCCTTTCAATATTTTTCTGATCTATTGCTCCAATATTATCTTCTCTCATGTCAGCATGGCGCATTTTGAGTTTACTTTCCAGCAGTTTGATTTGTAAATTTTGCCTTTTAATTACTGATTTCTACAAAAAAACATTGTAACAGATTTCCAGATTATGAACAGAATCAAATGTATGCCGAAATGCTGAAATGCAGGTTCTCATAGAACGTTTCTCTTTGAATTCCTTTATTTAAATCATCTAAGGTTTACTCATTCCAACATTTCAAACCATTTGTTAGAGTCACAAAAGGCAAGAGGATAAAAATATTGGAGCTGTATGCATGTATATTATTCTGGTAGCTGATTTATATAATAGAAGGCCACAAAGTTTCTTGCTATTTTGCTGTTGCTTAGTAAAAATACGTTATATCAAAGAACATTGAATTCCATGAACTGATACCTTAGCGAAACTAAGGTTGAAACTAATGAAACTGTAAGACGTTTGACCGTTGCTTAGGGTACTCACGGCCTTTTAAGCCAAACAAGATATCAACTCTTACTCTAATGTTTAGTACTTATATGAAAATGTGTGAGAATTAAATCAATTATGAGCAAATAGCTAAAAAGAAGTGGATCGCGCAGCTATTTATAAAAAATAAGAAACATTCATGATAAAAAACGCAAATGGCTTGAAGTGGGTCCTTTGCGATGTAATATCGGTAATAGAGGTAACTGGGACGACCTAACTGAATAGTCTGACTGATAAACATTCGAAACAAGATCTGACAAAATTTATGATGAATGAAATAGATGAAAAATCTTAAGTAGTTGAAAACCTCTGGTAGTGACCAAATGTACTGTTGAAAAAAGTAAGGTAACATTAACATGATATATGTGTGCGAATTTTTGAGACTTACATAGTCAGTATTCTCCTTTAACAAGGCCTCATTCTTTTTCAAAAGTGAGGAAAGTAGTTCTGGGTCGTTAGTAAAATTAGGCGCTCGTTGATTTAGTACAGTTTTGAATTTTACTTCACTCTCACCATTATCCATTGTCTTTAGACAATCGGTGAATCTTCGAATAGATATTTCTGAGATGATTTCATCATAAAAATTATCGTCAGAATATGGGACTTCACAAGATGGAGATCTGTTGGAAGTGCTTGGACAGAATAACGTAACTTTTCTTTCAACGTGTTTAGAATCTCGAAACTTTGTTTCACGCTCGCAACCTTGACGCGTCATTGTCATGACTACGCCTGCTCAGTCTTCATCCTAGGATTATGAAAGCCCTGTCAAATTTAACTGCTGAACCTTTAGCGATACTGTTTGATATGTCTCTGCGGCAGTCCAGATTGCCCAGAGACTGGAATGACGTGATACTTAGTCCGGTGTATGAGGCTGGGAGTAAAGATTTAGTTAGTAACTATCGTCTCGTTAGCTTAACTGGTGCAGTTGTAAAACTGATGGAAAAAACTATTCGGATGGCTGTTATAAACTATGTGGAAGGACATAATCTTTTATCCAGGAAACAAAATGGTTTTCGGAAAGGCCTATCTTGTTTGAGGAATCTCATTGCAAGAGAAGACTGGGCTTAGGCGAAAGATCGAAATATTCCTGTAGTTGTGTTTTTCATAGATCTAAGTAAAGCCTTTGATAAGGTCTTCCATTCTGGTCCTAAATAAAAACGGGAAACTTTTGATTTTCATTATACGACCATAGACTGGAATAATTGACTTTCTCCATGACAGGAGACAATGGGTAAGAGTAAACGGAGCTCTCTCATAGTGGGGGCCTTAAAAATGTGGAGTTCCCCAAGGCACAATCCTCGGTCCTCTTCTCTTTTTACTTTATTTAGATTAATAAGCAACTGTAGCTGAATTATCTGTTCTACTCTTCGCCGATGACATAAAGGTTTGAAGACCCATATACAGCATGTCGAATAAAATGGTATTACAGGATGATCTCAACTTATTGGTAGTATGGATGGACGGGTGGTCACTAGAAGTGATTTTTAACAAGTGTTGTGATGCGATTAAATAACTATGATGATTCATATTACTACACAATATGTGGATTTGTGTCACCCAAAGTAAAAAACTATGAAGATATAAGAGTTATAGTGAGAAATGATCTCAATTTACCAGTCACTGTAAGGCTGCTGCTGCTGCAAAAGGCTATTGGGTATTATGATCTATCCGTGGATCTTCCCAGTACTAGGATGAGGAAATATTTAGATTATTATACCCGACTTTCGTGTAGCTACATTTAAAATATGAGATTCAAGCAGTGAGTCCTTGTTTCAAACATGGGGCGTATATACTGGAACGAGTCCAACGCCGCGGGACTTAGATGTTGGAAGGTCTATCGGAACTATTTTCTGAAGACAGATTGAGACACCTCAAATTATTTACGTTAACTTACCATAGAACACAGGATGATGGAATATTGGTTTATCTTAACCAGAACAACCATATTTCTTACTCCAAGTATTTAATCAGCGTGTCTTATGACTATTGACCGTACTATGTAATCATCGCCTAGAAGCTACTTCAAGCCATTTGCGTTTTTTATCATGAATGTTTCTTATTTTTTATAAATAGCTGCGCGATCCACTTCTTTTTAGCTATTTGCTCATAATTGATTTAATTCTCACACATTTTCATATAAGTACTAAACATTAGAGTAAGAGTTGATATCTTGTTTGGCTTAAAAGGCCGTGAGTACCCTAAGCAACGGTCAAACGTCTTACAGTTTCATTAGTTTCAACCTTAGTTTCGCTAAGGTATCAGTTCATGGAATTCAATGTTCTTTGATATAACGTATTTTTACTAAGCAACAGCAAAATAGCAAGAAACTTTGTGGCCTTCTATTATATAAATCAGCTACCAGAATAATATACATGCATACAGCTCCAATATTTTTATCCTCTTGCCTTTTGTGACTCTAACAAATGGTTTGAAATGTTGGAATGAGTAAACCTTAGATGATTTAAATAAAGGAATTCAAAGAGAAACGTTCTATGAGAACCTGCATTTCAGCATTTCGGCATACATTTGATTCTGTTCATAATCTGGAAATCTGTTACAATGTTTTTTTGTAGAAATCAGTAATTAAAAGGCAAAATTTACAAATCAAACTGCTGGAAAGTAAACTCAAAATGCGCCATGCTGACATGAGAGAAGATAATATTGGAGCAATAGATCAGAAAAATATTGAAAGGCTGCAGAAACGTTGCGAAGAGTTACAAGAACAAGCAAGCAATGAAATGAATAATTACATATATTATTTCAATCCATAGATTTTTGAAATGAAGGAATTTTTTCAAGACCATGGTCTCATGTGGATAGGGAGACAATCAACTGATCATGTAACCAGTCCAAGAAATGAAACTGGTCTAAGTAGGCCTTGGCTTTGCTTATAGATCTAATGACAATAATATTGCTATTTGTTTATTATTAATAAGAACTCAATGAAACAACCTTCGGTCGCCTAATTCAACAAATTCATTTATTGAGTAATTGGAACAACGACGCGCACAATGAGAAAAAATTTATTTCACAATCAAATTCATCTAATATAGTTTGCTTAACTCCGCCTGTAGCTCTTTTAGAGTTACTGCCGGTCCCAAGCCCGGGTAAAGGAGGAGGGTTGGGCATGGGGTTAGCGACCCCTTCCCGTAGAAAAGCTAACTCGCTAAGAAAACGCTAACCAGAAAAAATAATAATTCAAACCATTTAAACTCTGCCCTCCAAGTTGAACGAATAATTATGACGTCTCATGATGAAAGCCGAAATTCTTCGGAAGTCACGAGACCGATGCACCTTCTAACAACCAGAGCAACACTCTTTATAGGTACATGGATCGTCCGGACAATGTGGGAGACAGGAAAGACCAGCCAAATAGCAATGGAAATGAGAAGATACAACTTGGCAGTACTCGGAATCAGCGAAACCCATTGGACACAAACTGGACAACAAAGGCTAGGTACAGGAGAGATGCTGCTGTACTCCGGTCACGAAGGGGAAAACGCTCCACACACTCAGGGAGTTGCTCTAATACTGTCCAAAGAAGCACGAAATGCACTTGTGGGATGGGAATCTCATGGACCCAGGATAATCAAAACATCATTCAGAACAAAGAAGCAAGGGATCACAATGAACGTTATCCAATGTTATTCACCCACCAATGATAGCAACGACGATGATAAAGATCAGTTCTATGAAAGGCTGCAATCAATTGTAGCAAAGTGCTCACGAAAGGACCTCACCATCCTGATGGGAGATCTAAATGCTAAAGTTGGAGTGGACAACACAGGATATGAAGATGTAATTGGACGACATGAACTAGGAGAGAGAAATGAAAATGGGGAGAGACTTGCAAACCTATGTGCATTCAACAAATTAGTTATAGGCGGCACAATATTCCCACACAAACGTATACACAAAGCTACATGGATCTCACCGGACCACACCACAGAGAACCAGATTGATCACATCTGTATCAACAAAAAATTCCGAAGATCAATGGAAGATGTGAGAACCCGGAGAGGAGCTGACATAGCTTCAGATCACCACCTGGTTGTGGCCAAGATGAGACTGAAGCTAAAGAAAGACTGGACAACTGGACAAACAGTACTACAAAGGTTCAATACAGCCTTCCTTCGAGATACTGACAAGTTCCATGAATTCAAGATAACTCTCAACAACAGGCTCCAAGCTTCACAGGATCTACTGAAAGAACAAGAAACTACTTTGGAGAACAACTGGAAAGGGATAAAAGAAGCACTAACTTCAACGTGTCAGCAGGTTCTTGGTCCTAAGAAGCATCATCACAAGGAATGGATCTCTATGGGAACCCTGGACAAAATTCAAGAAAGGAAGAACAAGAAACTAGCAATTAACAATAGCCGAACACGAGCAGAGAAAGTCAAAGCACAAGCAGACTACGCAGAAGCAAACAGAGAAGTGAAGAAAAGCATTAAAGCCGACAAGCAGAAATACGTGGGAGAACTAGCAACGGCGGCGGAAAAAGCTGCAAGAGAAGGGAATATGAAACAACTATATGACACAACGAAGAAATTGGCAGGGAGATATAGCAAACCAGAGAGACCAGTCAAAGACAAAGAAGGAAAGATAATCACTGAGATTCAAGAACAGAGGAAAAGATGGGCAGAATACTTCGAGGAACTGCTGAATAGACCAGCCCCATTGAATCCACCGAACATCGAAGCAGCCCACACTGACCTTCCAATAGATGTCACTCCACCAACGATCGAAGAAGTCAAGATGGCCATCAGACAAATCAAAAGTGGGAAGGCGGCAGGACCTGACAATATACCAGCAGAAGCACTGAAGTCAGACATTGAAATAACTGCAAATATGCTTCACCTTCTATTCAAGAAGATTTGGGAAGAGGAACAAGTGCCAACGGACTGGAAAGAAGGATATCTCATCAAGATACCAAAGAAAGGAGATCTGAGCAAATGTGAGAACTACAGAGGCATGAGTTTGTTATCAGTACCAGGAAAAGTTTTCAACAGAGTGCTGCTGAATCGGATGAAAGACGCAGTAGACGCCGAACTAAGGGATCATCAGGCTGGATTCCGTAAGGATCGGTCGTGCACAGACCAGATTGCGACACTACGGATCATCGTTGAACAATCAGTTGAGTGGAACTCATCCCTTTACGTCAACTTTATTGACTATGAGAAGGCGTTTGACAGCGTGGACAGGAGAACATTATGGAAACTTCTTCGACACTATGGAGTTCCTGAAAAGATTGTCAACATTATCCAAAACTCATACGATGGACTACAGTGCAAAGTGGTGCATGGAGGACAGCTGACAGATGCATTTCCAGTAAGGACCGGAGTCAGACAAGGCTGTCTACTCTCCCCATTCCTCTTCCTTCTAGTGATTGACTGGATTATGAAGAATTCGACATCTGAAGAGAAATACGGAATACAATGGACTTCTCAGAATCAATTAGACAATTTGGACTTCGCAGATGACCTAGCCCTCCTCTCTTATACACACGACCAAATGCAGATGAAGACAGCAAATGTAGCAGCAGCCTCTGCATCGATAGACCTCCACATTCACAAAGGAAAAAGCAAGATTATCAAATGCAACACGGAGAACACCAACCCAATCACACTTGATGGCGAAACTCTGGAAGAGGTGGAAACATTCACGTACCTGGGGAGCATCGTTGATAAACAAGGAGGATCGGATGCAGATGTAAAGGCGAGGA